CTCCTCCTCCTCCTCCTCCTCCTTCTTTTTTTTTTTTGCTATGGCATAACCCACAATAGTCAGTATCCCAATATGCCTGCTTCTGAGGTAATCCTCAATCGTTTTAGTCTTATAGTCAATATTTCTTCTTGTCTCTGAGCTGCCATGGCATTTCTAGTATTTTCTGTAACAATTCCCAATTCTAAATTAGAAATGATCCCTCCATCCCAGGATACTCATCAAGTACTATTTCTATAAGGGAATCTTAACCTTAAACAAACAGGTGAAAGCCAGTGTCTCTCAGAGCTATTAACTATAGTGATATCCAGTGAGCTGCCCACTTGACTGTAGGGTGGAGCCTGTCTAAGTCTTACCTTGACCTACTCAACAAGTATATATAAACCATTTAGAGAGCTTAGCCAACTTCCAGTGAGACATTTAAGAAATTTCCTACAAATATTAAAACTGTGTTTGTCACAGATGGGCACCCAAAATAGAAGAGTATAACATATTTCAACAGTCTCCTCAAGTCTAAGACAAGTTGAACATTCACTCTCATTTTATAGTTTGTTGGGAAAGTTTGTAAAGAGGGTTTTGCAAGTGAACATGGTATGAATACAAATGTGATAAGAATTTTGAGCAAATTTTCTTCATGCTGTTGCTGTTAATGATTACATATGTATTAGATATTTGGAAGAAATTGAAGTAAATTATGAAGGTTGGGTTTATTTAATGCCCTAGAAAGGCTGGGTTTAGGAAAACAACTAAAGAAATTTACAGAGCTACAGTTTTGCAGTTAAAACACATCCTGGAACCTCCATTAACATAAGATACTTTCTTATTGCTGTAATAAAACAAATAGACTCTGTTGAAACAAAACATAGTTTAAGGTATGCAACATGATCATTCTGGTTGGCATGAAAAAATTGATGAATGACTAACAGCATTTATGCTCTTTTAGAATAAGGCTAATTTAATTTGTTTCAGATTTTGTATTATTGCAAAATCTCCAAACAACTTTTATAGCAAAAAAATAGAAAGGGAGGATTCTCGGGAAGAAAAAAAGGAGGAAGAGAGGGAAGAAGACATCCATATAAAGAATATGTACGGACTGGACAAATAAATTGTGGTACATGTGCTTTATACTCACGTAGATTATGCAGCACTTAGACCAACATGACAGATAACGATGTCATTAAATGAAAACATTAAAACAAGTGGAGGGAGGAGATAAAGGTAAAAGTGTTTGTGTGGGATGGGGGGGAAGGGGAGGGAAGGGAAGGGGAAGGGAGGAGAGAGGAGAGGAGACATGAGAAGAGAGATATAAGAATGATAAATATGAATTCCAAGCTAACGAGGTCAGGTGGGGTATCATCTGATATCTTGGCATTGTCTGAGGTTTTTTTTTCCTTCTTAATCATGATAATGGATTAATTTACAAAATGTTTTTAAAATGAGCATTTTCAATAGCTAACGATCTACACTTCATCAATGTTTTCCGTCTAAAACCTGCATTAGCCCCCTCACCCTGCCCTCCAACCCCCGCCCCAAGCGATTTTGTGAGTCGCTGCTTAAAAAGAACTGAATGGCGAGACATTGGGGAGTGAGTCCCAGATAACGCCGGCGCTGGACAGGACACTGACACGCGCAATCCTAGACCGGCCCGGAAGTGCCTCTACAAGGTCCGCTCGTGTGGAGGGGCTAACTTCTTTCCGGCCCGGCCGCAGTTCCGTTCCGGCCGCAGTTCCGGCTCACTCCGAGGGAGTGAGGCTTTACCTGCTCGGCTGGTCCGATCTCGTGAGTCCGCCTCTGGGACTCGGGATGGTGGGGAGGAGGGTTAAGAAAGTGAACCTTAGGGGCTGGTAGGTTGGAGCAAGGGGAGGGGGCAGTGGTCTGTGCCCGGCAGAGACTTTGCCCAAGACAGTTGTGGGAGGATTGCGAGGTTAAAGGCCACCGTGGTATTAACAGCAGGCTTACGACTCAGGGAAGGAAACACCTGAGAGAGGAAGTTAGGCACAAATAGGAAAATATTTTGCAGTCTTCGTCAAGGAGAGCCCTTCTCACCTTTAGGTTTTAAAGTAAAATTAAGGGGCATTGAATGGACAGGAACAAGTGCAGAATGTACTTGCGATTCCTTTTCCTTTAGTTCCCTTGATTCTCAAACCTTACAGTGCATACAAATCATTGAGGAGCCTATTAAAGACGCATATATATTCTGGGTTTCCTCGACTCCCCTTCCCACCTTTCACCCCCGGATTCACATTTCCTAAATGTCTGCCACAGGGCCTGATAAGCTGGAATTCACCTATTGGGCTGGGATTCTGCCATTTGGAGACACACAGGCCTCCTGGGCCCAGGCATTGAGTCTGCAGAAAATGTCTCTCTTGGGCTTCTTTGGTCTCTTACAATTGTCTTCACAAAGAATATGATCCTTGCTTCCTTTTATCAAATGAAATAATAATGATTGTAATAAAATCTCAGAAGGTAACTGTGAGAATTAAATATGGCTTTGTATCTGAAAGCATATTGGAGACTATTGGGCAGTGTTTACTATTACTCTTAGGAAGCAATAGGGCAGTGTGGAAAGTTCACAGGACTTGGAATCGCTTTCCTAGCCATAAATGTGAAAATAATACCAACCTTTAATGTTTCTTTTTTTAAAGATTACTTTGAGAAAACTCAAGGAAAAAACTTCCATTAATGTTGGTTCATTCATTTAGTTGACAGGAACATATTTCCATTTAGTCTTTCTCTAATTTAACTTTTATACGATAAGTCCAAATATTTTACATAGACTTTCTGAGTAATCTATATGGTCCCTAATTCATGGCCTTTTTCTTCCATGAACTCTAGGGAATTATTTATTGTCAGTGTGACTTAACACAAATGAATAACACCTATTCAGTCCATTTGCATTGAACTGAGGGAGGGGCTAACTCAGTTAGGCCCTGAGATCAGAGAGATCAACACTAGCAAGCACTCCACAAGGGGAAACAAATGTTTCTCAGTGTCTTTTATTGAAACCTCAGGTATGAGAAAATGCAGCACAGTAGAAAAGCTTCAAAGAGAGAGTCAAGGTTAAAAACAAGTAGTTTCTCCTTAACTGCATAATTGAACTAACGTTTTATTTACTGCACAGTTACTTTTTAATCTTATCACTGCTAAAGGTATGTGGCTTAAGGCTGGGACAGTATGCTGTGTCTACTGAGTATTGTTTTCAGTACTCATGGTCAGCAGTGATTCTTGACTTTTTCTCAGATTACTCTGTCCTTAGTGCCTAGCACTTTTAACCTTATGTTCTATCCTATAATTTGTTTTTTTTCACATAGAGAAACTGAGATCGAAAGATTAAAAATTGACACAAAGTCATACAATTCATAAATTTTAGAACCAGAATAAAATCCAGGTTTTATTGTAAACTTATGCTCCTTGCACATTATGAACATATATTTTTGCATTTTTTCTATTCTTTGGTCACTAAGTCACTTTACTTTCAGTGAAAAGCTTTAGTGTCTATGATAGTCTCTTACATTATCAATTTCTATTATCAACTATTGTTATTTTTCTGTGTAAATAATTATTTTTACTGCTTAGGCAGCAATCTCCAAGTGTGTCTTGAAGCATTATTCCAGTTAAAGGGTACCTTTAAAGCTATTCAAAGTCAAGATGAATACAGACTTAAAAGAGGTTTTATCCCCGGATGTTCACGTTTCTGAGATATGGGAAGAGCATCTGACAGTGAAAGTGGAGGCAGAAAATCACCTTAAAAAGCAGGAATACAGACTAAAATGCAATAATCCACTGGCAAGGGAAATCTTCCGAAGGCACTTTCGGCAGCTGTGCTACCAGGAAACCCCTGGACCAAGAGAAGCTCTTACCCGGCTCCAGGATCTTTGCTACCAGTGGTTGAGGCCACATGTGAGCACAAAGGAGCAAATTTTGGATCTGTTGGTGCTGGAGCAGTTCCTGTTTATCCTGCCCAATGAGCTCCAGGGCTGGGTGAAGGAACATCGTCCAGAGAGTGGGGAAGAAGCTGTGATTTTGCTGGAGGATCTGGAGAGAGAGCTTGATGAACCACAACATGAGGTAGGAAGTGAAGTTTACTAGGGTGGCAGTGGCCACCCTTGTGGATATAGTACCACTTTAATACTGATAATAAAATATTCTACCTCATGCTTCCTTCCTTGTGGGAAGTGCTTTTTGAGACAGTTAATTTCTTCAGAAGTCAAATCTTGTCTCTTTGTCCCCAGATGGTAACTCACATACACAGACAAGAAGTCCTTTCTAAAGAGATAGTGCCTTTAAGAGAGCAGACATCATTGAGCCTTCAGTCACAGCATAAAGAACCTCAGGTCAGAGGTGACCCTGCTCAGGAAGTCCATCCTATTGGAGAGACAGGTGAGGGACAGGTTTGATGTTGAACTTATCTCACCTGGTCAAGCGAAAACAATCAGAAAACCCACCAGGGGATCCAAACACTCCAGATAGCAGCAATGCACAGAGCTTCTGAATGCCTAGGGTGTTCATTTTTGTCCCCTTCCCTTGCATGCGATCTTCCCCTGTGTACCATCCTTAGGACTTCTGGCACATGGTCCATTATAAAGGCTTTCAGGAATCACTGTGGAGAACAGTTTTAGAGAATGGGCTTCAAGGTATGACAGATACAGGTTCAGATCATGGCCTGCTTGTACTTAACCACTTGACTTCAGTTCCCTCTACAAAAGGGGGTTGATACTAGTATTGGGTTTGTCTACTTGAACTGTCATAACAGAATACCATAGCCTGGGTGGCTTTAACAACAGAAAATTTGTTTTTCACATTTCTGAAGGCTATAATTCGAAGATTAAGGTGCTATTGGGTTTGGTTTTTGGTCAGGCCTCTATTCCTGTCTTGTGGACAGCTGTTGTTTTCCTCACATGGCCTTTCCTCTGAGTACACAGAGAGAAAGAGAGCATTTTAGTGTCTATTTTTCGTAAAAGGACACCAGTCCTATCATATTGGGATCCCCCTTAAGGACCTCATTTAACCTTTATTACCTCTCTAAAGACCCTATCTCCAAATATTTCACATTGAGACTGAAACATATAAATTGTATTCCCTCAACATACAAATTCTGAGGGAACACAATTTAATCCATAACAAGTATATATCTCAGAAACTTGTGAGCATCAAATACAATTTATGAAAAGCACTTGGCACGCATTATGATTCATACATGGCAGCTGTTACAAAAAATCACCAGTGTCACCCTTGCCAATTTGGGTAGAAACATATGTGATAGACTTAGTAGGCGGCAGATTGTATATCAGACTTTGACATTTCCTTGTTTGTAGTCTTCATTGTAGTGCCCACTCTTAACAGATAGACTGCTGGCCACTTGGGGCTGAGTCAGCTGACTTCCCATTTTGGCTTACCATGCAAGAAGTGGCTCTAGCTGCTAATTTGTCACATATGGCATTATAGCTTCTTATTGACATTTTGTTAACCTTCTGACAGCAGGTTCCCCTGTTTTCAGTTTCACATCACTCCCCCCTTGTATCAAAGCCTCAACTTCCTTTACCTCTCTGCCTTTAGCCTCTATTTATTTCATCTGCCCTAGCAATCATATAGTTATCATTTCTACTACATGAAACATATCTCTTCATTTAAACTGAAAATTAATTTTACTTCAGCTTAAATTAAGGTGTATGTGTTGAGTAAATTCCATGTACACAGCAGACCTTTCTCTGGTCCCATAACCTCATCAGGTTAAAATTCCTTCTGGTTTCATTTTCCTCCTTCATGAGCATATTTCCAGTCAGTTCCTTTGTTTTTTTTCCTTCTTTCTTTTCCTGTGAACTTGAACTTTTCACTCTCCAGCAATTTACTCCTTCCTTCTCTCTTCCAAACCACATCTAGAACTCTGTTGAGAACATTAAGAACCTCCTTTTCCCAAAAGCACATCTTTGTTTATCTACCTATCTATCCATCCATCTATTGGTTTATTCATTCAAAAAATATTTATTAAGCATCCAGTGAGGCTACAGGTGAGTACTTAATGGGCATCTACACATTGGAGAGTTCTCCCTGTAGGACATCACTGCAGGTGTGTGTTGGCAATTCAGGAAAAGCCACTATTATAAGGCAAGATAGTAAGTATTCAAGATAATAAGGACCAAATATAAGTTGCAGCTCTTCAACAGTTTAGCCAAGCAATATTTAAGTTACTTTATACACTGTTTCTTTGTAAGTTCATGCTGATTATAAAAAATCTGAATAAGACAGAAGTTTATATAGTGAAAAATAAAAGTTCTTGAAATCCTACTCCCTAAGAGTAACTAAACTTTGTCAATTTGCTATGTATTTTCCGGGCTTTTTATATATATTTATATACATACCTGTTTTTAACCCCACAGTTTTCTAAGAGGTGAGATGATAATATCAGAGGTCTTTGCCAGTTTGATAAATATATAAAAGTACTTCATAAGTCATGAAGGTTGTGTAAATGGTAGTTATTAAAAAGTGGAGGCTGGATGTATTGACTCACACCTGTATTCCCAGGCTAAGGGGGGAGGATGCCTGAAGCCTAGGGTTTGAGATCAGCCTGGGCAACATAGTAAGACTTTGTGTCTACAAAACAAATTTTAAAGTTAGTAAGGCATGGTGATGTCCACCTATAGTTCTTTCTACTTGGGAGGCTGAAGCAGGAGGACAGCTTGAACTCAGGAGTTTGAGGTTATAGTGAGCTGTGATCATACCACTGCATTCCAACCTGGGTGACAGAGCAAGACCCTCTCTCAAAAAAAAAAAAAAAAAAAGTAGAAAATGTCTTATTTTTTACATTCTACTCAGTTCCCATATATAGTTCAGATTTAATATAAAGTTTAGGCATAAGGGTAGTACTGATCCCACTTTTGGCCTATTTCTTCTCTGCAGACAAATTTCTGTTTTCCAAACCTGTTGTGATCCCCCAGCTAAAAGGAGGAAAACCATGGCCTAACAACAGAGGAGTCCTAAGAGGTACCTATTGTGTTGTGTGAGGACAAATACAATACAAGTCAGGGTCTGTTTTGCTTGTGCTTTTTCTGGGTTGCAAGGTGAAATCACACATGAGATATCCTAACAATACCACAGCAGCTACTTGCCAGTGTTTAGACAGTTTGGGTCTGTTTCTTTCTATTTTTACCCCGGAATCACCCATACAGAGTCTGATTGGATTGGCTGGACACTATCCAGTATAAATCAGTCCTATGAGTCAGTCTTTGCCTCAGATGCTAGTCCCTGGGCCAGTCAGTTGAGGCCATACTTTCAATCTATGCCTTTTTATTCATTCATTCATTCAACAGATATTTTTTGAGCAACTGCTATGTGCCAGGGATGATAAAACAGAAAGGGAATAAAACAGAAAGATCTTGTTCTCATGGAGGTTAGATTTTAGCAAGAGGAAGACAATAATAAAAAATTGAGATGATATAATATGTTAGAAGGTGATGAGTCCAGTGGAATAAAGCAAAAATAGAACAGGATAAGGGAGATTAAGAGTACTATGCATAAGGCATATCAACTGTGGAATTAAAGAAATGAATTAAAATTTACCTTATTAAGAAGGGGAGAGATGAGCAAAGACTTAGAGAAAATGAGAAAGTGAACCATGTTATTATATGAGGTCAGAGCTTTTCACAAAGAGTTAAGCAAAAGCCTTGTGATGGGAATGCACCTTGGATTTGTGCATTTGACAGTCATGGATTTGAAAGTCATTTTCCCTGCTGAGTACAGTGTTTCATGCCTGTACTACAAAATGCTAGCACTTTGGGAAGCTCAGGTGGGAGCATCCCTTGAGCTCAGGAGTTCAAGACCAGCCAGAGCGAGAGTGAGACTTGGTTTCTACTATGGCCAGGCGTTGTGGCAAGCATCTGTAGTCCCAACTACTGGGGAGGATGAGGCAGGAGGAAGATCACTTAAACCCAGGAGTTTGAGGTTGCTGTGAGCTAGGCTGACACCAGGGCACTATATAGTCTGTGGCATCAGAGTGAGACTCTGTCTCAAGAAAACCCAGAAAGTCATAGTATAAGTAGTCTTCCTTTATCTGCAGGTATCTTCAGGAAATAAGAACCCCAGTGGATGCCTGAAACCTAGAATGATACCAAACTCTATATATACTATGTTTTTTCCTATGCTAACATACTTACAATAAAGTTTAATTTATAAATTAGATGTAGTAAAAAAATAATAATAAAATAGAACAATTATAACAATATTCCAGCATCACTACTCTTGTACTTTGGGGCCATTATTAAGTAAAACAAGGGATACTTGAAGACAAGCACTGTGATTACTATGATAGTCAGTCTGATAACCAATATGGCTGCTAAGTGACAGGCATGCAACATATACACTATAGATATGCTGGACAAAAGGAGGGTTCACATTGTGGGTGGGATGGGGATGGATGCATGAGATTTCATCATACTACTCAGAAGGGTGCACAGTTTAAAATTCAGGAATCACTTCTAGAATCTTCCATTTAATTTTTTTTCCATTTCAAAATATTAAGGGAGTACAAGTATTTTTGTTACTTGGATGAATTGTATAATGCTGAAGTCAGAGTTTTTAATATGTCTATCACCAGAGTAGTGTACATGGTACCCAATAGGTAAGTTTTTATCCCTCACCCTCCTACCCTCCCCCTTTCTTAGTTTCCAGTGTCCTTTGCACTACTACATATCTGTGTATATGAATCCCATTGTTTGCTCTCATTTGTATGTGGTGTTTGTTTTTACATTTCTGAGGTACTTCACTTTAGATAATGTTATCCAGTTCCATCCAAATTGCTGCAAAATACATTATTTCATTCTTTTCTAATTTTTTTTTTTATCATTTAACATTTTTGGAAGATAGTTGAACATGAGTAACTGAAACTGCAGAAAACCACAGATAAGAGGTGGACTACTGCATTGCCTGAAGTACCCAGAAGAGTAGAAACTTAATACTTGTTTCGAAAATGAATGAATGGATAAGTACATGAAGTAACTTTTATTTGGAAAGGGGTCACTTTGAGGTTTCTTACCTCAAAAGAGATAGAGTTCTGAGGGTAAACTGTACAGAAGTCATACTGATCTTTACCCTTCCCTTCCTATGAAGACAGTTCTCCCATGCCAAGTCCACCTAGGGACAAACTGAGCTACATTTTGTCAAAGAGGGCATACTTCTCTCATTACCTAGGGGAAGGTGTTACCAAAATAGCCCTTCTGTTTCTGACTCCTTTCCTATTCTATACTGAATTTTTGTGGGCATAGTCACCTTCTCATAGGCTCAGAGAATAAATGACATTTACCTAGTCTTTTTATGTTTCAGATGAAATGATCAAGACTGATGACAGAGAGTTGGTGTTAAAGAAAGACTGTCCTAAGATAGTAGAATCACATGGGAAAATGTTTCATGAACAGATGCGGGAGGTATCACACCAGGATCCCCAACGTGGAGAAGCTGGTGAACATAAGGGACTGATAGAGAGGCAGTGGGGAAACCCCTTAGGAGAGAGGCACCACAGATGTGGTGAATGTGGGAAGGTCTTTGCTCATAGCTCAGGTCTCATTCGGCATCAAAGGATTCACACAGGAGAAAGACCTTATGAATGTAATGACTGTGGGAAAACTTTCAGTCGGAGTTGTGGTCTTTTTAATCACCGAAGAATCCACAATATACAGAAACAGTACCACTGTAAGGATTGTGGAAAGGCCTTCAGTCAGAGTGCAGGTCTTATCCAGCATCAGAGAATCCACAAGGGAGAAAAGCCCTACCAATGCAGCCAGTGCAGTAAGAGCTACAGTCGGAGTTCATTTCTTATCGAGCATCAGAGAAGCCACACAGGAGAACGACCTCACCAGTGCACTGAATGTGGAAAAAGCTTTAATCACCACTGCAACCTCATCCGCCATCAAAAGATCCACACAATGACTGAGCTTGTCTAGTCCTTGCTATGACCAAGTTTTATCACTGATCATATGGGGTAGGGTAAAGCCAAAAAATGCCTCTTTCTTTGTGTCTCAACACTGTGTTTGAAATAATTACTGACTATGGTCCAGTGTAGGATAGAGTATAGGGTTAAAAGATTTGGGTGCTAGGAACAGAGTGGTCTGGGCAAAATCCAAGAATCACTGCTGGCTGTGAGTACTAAAAAGAGTACTCACTAGGCACAGCATACTCTCAGCCCTAAGTCATATGATTAAGGAAAGACAAAAGTGCCATAAATAGGATATGTTAGGAGTTCAGTAGTGCAGTTAAAAGAAAAATTACTTGTTTTTTAACCTTTACTCTCTCTTTGAACCTTGCCACTGTACTGTATTTTCTCATGCCTGAGATTGCAATAAAAGCCAGGGGGTAATGTTGGAGGAGGCCACCCCCCTGTTTCTCCTTGCAGAGTGCTTGCTGGTGTTAGCCTCCCTAGTTCCCTCAGTTCAATGCAAATTGACTGAGTAGGTGTTTTTCATTTTCATTGTGTTGCACCAACAACTGGTGCCCTGTGTGAGGAAACATGGAGGCCACTCTATCAAGCATTTGTGAGGAATCTGTGAAGAAGATTTCAAAAACCAGTCAGGGCACCTGTAGTCCCAGCTATACAGAAGGCTGAGGCAAGAGGATCACTTGAGCCCAAGAGTTTGAGGTTGCTGTGAGCTGTGATGCCTGGGCACTCTACCCAGGGGGATAGAGTGAGACTCTGTCTTGTTAAAAAAAAAAAAAAGAAAGAAAGAAAGATTACACAGGCAACTGGTCCGATCTCCCTAACCCCAGCAAGGGGAAGAGGACATTTGCTCATCCTAGTAAAGGGAACAAGTGTCAAAGGACTAGCCTTCGCTGCCCATGGTAGGATCAAAGTTAGGGACAGACTTGCAGACCTGTGGGATATCTTTCCATTGCCACTTTGGTTTCACTTTCTTTTCCTCTTTCTGACTGGTTCATGTAAAAATGGGACAGTGTCTTTCTCAAGAACAAAGCAATCATAAGCTGCAGCTTCAGGGCCTTTTATGGATCACACCCTTGTTTCTCCTTGCCAGAGTCCTTGCTGATGTTAGCCATCTTGGGTCCCTCAGTTCAATGCAGATGGACTGAGTGGGTGTTATTCATTTGTGTTGTGTCACACTGACAGTCCAGGGACTGCTAAGAGGAGAGTTTGTGTTTTTTTAAGCTGCTGCCTTCCCCTTTGTTCATTTACCCCTTTCCTATTCTTTCTAGTCCTGTCCCTCTTATTTATTCTCTTTGAGATGGCTGCTAAACCCTTGTAATAATATAATAAATAGTGCTGCTAGGGCCAACATCCCTGAAAGATCTAGTATTTCTGTTTAATTCCTAAAGATAACAGAGCTCTACTGATGTTTTTTAAATAAATGGGTCTTTGGTATGGTCAGTTACCAGTGCCTACATTGTAAACACCTTTTCCACTTTGCTTCTTCCCTCTGACACCTATGAGACTCTCCCTTAGAATGTTGACTAGCATTGGATAGGTACTTGGCTGTTTGCCAGGTGTGTCCATTTACTTAGTCATAGTTGATTATCCCGGCAATTTGATTACATTGGGAAATGAGCATTATCATTACCCCATTTTACAAATAAGGAGCCTATGGCTTAGGAAATCCAAGCATCAGAGCCAAGGCTTAAACTCTTGAACTTTTATTTTTAATAACCCTTTTATTTTGGAATAATTTTAGATTTATAAAAAAGTTGCAAAGATAGAGTTCTCCATACCCTTCACCCAGTTTCCCCTAATGTTAATATCTAACATTACTTCGTTTTCAGTTAAATTGATAGCTTTTTGACTCTAAATCCCAATCTTTTTCTCTCTTTCCCTCCCTCTCTCTCTTTTTTATTTTATTAGGTGAAGGGAGACAGTCTCACTTTTTTGCCCTGGGTAGAGTGCAATGGTGCAATGGCATCTTTTTTCTAATAGCATAATTTAAAAAAATTTTTTCAGATTAATATGAGGGTACAAATGATTAGGTTATGGTGTTTGTGCTTGTTAAGTAAGGTTCCTGTAGTAGTTGTGTCCCTCATCCAGGAGGTGTGCCATATATCCTTACATTGTACATATTAGGTGAAGGCACACCAATCCCCTCCTTCCTCTCTCCTCCCTTTTCCCCCTGCCCCCTGTTCCCAACTTGAATTAAATTGAGTTTTTCTCTTGTTGGTGGTGTTATCTTAGCTCACTGCAACCTCAAATTCCTGCCTTCAAGTGATCCTGCTGCCTCAGCCTCCTGAGTAACTGGGACTACAGGCACCTTCCTCAATGCCCAGCTAATTTTTTCTATTTTTAGTAGAGATTAGTTCTTGAGTTCTCACTCTTGCTCAGGTTGGTCTGAAACGCCTGAGCTCAAGGGATCTTCCTGCCTTGGCCTCCTAGAGTATTGGGATTACTGGCATGAGCCACTAAGCCTGATCTACTGGGGCTTTCTTGAACATTGATTTTCTTCTCACTGAAGCATGTTTTTCAGTGTTCTGTTTAGCAATAGCAAATTCTCTCAGACTTTGTGTGAACATGTTGTTATTTCAACTTCACTCTTGACTTTCCCATGTGTCTGTAGGTTAGAGAGCCCTCATTAACTTTGTGTGCTTAGAAGGTTGATGGGGTTTTTTTTCCCCCCAGTACTTGGAAGATTTTACTTATTTTTATTATTTTAAGACAGAGTCTCACTATGTCACCCTGGGTAGAGTGCCATGGCATCACAGCTCACAGCAACCTCCAACTCTTGGGCTTTAAGCGATTCTCTTGCCTCAGCCTCCCAAGTAGCTAGGACTATAGGCACCTGCCACAATGCCCAGCTATTTTTTGGTTGTAGTTGTCATTGTTGTTTGGCAGGCCCGGGCTGGATTCGAACCTGCCAGCTCCAGTGTGTGTGGCTGGTGCCCTAGCCACTGAGCACAGGTGCTAAGCCGTATTTGGAAGATTTTAAAATTCTATTTTCCAGCATGCTTTGAGAAGGGCATTACTTTCAATTTATTTATTTGTAAGTAATCTCTTTTTTGTGCTTCATACTCCCCTGTCTTCTGTTAAGACTTCTTCCCTTCCCAGAAGCCTTACTACAATGCACCTAGGTTTGCTTGGATGTTTTATTGGGGATGCTTCAACCTTTTCCAGACTTAATATGCTTCTTCCAAATTGAGATTAATGTCTATCAATTCAGGAAAATTTTCAGTCTCTTTCAAAATTCTCTTACTGAAGAATGTAATTTCTCCTGGTACTCCTATTACTTATATAAATTAGGCTTTTTTACACTCTCTTCAAGTCTCATTAATCTTTCTTGTGTTTTGCTTATTTTTCTTTGTGATGTATCTTCAAACCAACCTTACAGTTTATTAATTCTCCATTAACTATATTTAATATGTTATTTAACATGAGTTTTTTTTTTTTTTTTTAGAGACAGAGTCTTACTTTGTCACCCTCAGTAGAGTGCTATGGTGTCACAGCTCACAGCAACCTCTAGCTCTTAGGCTTAGGCAATTCTCTTACCTCAGTCTCCTGATTAGCTGGGACTACATGCGCCTACCACAATGCCTGGCTCTTTTTTTTTATTTTTTTTGGTTGCAGTTTGGCTGGGGCCGGGCTCGAACCCGCCGCCCTTGGTATATGGGACCAGTTCCCTACTCCCTGCTCTAGAGGTGCTGCCCTAGCATGAGTTTTTATTTCAATGCCTATGTATCTTATTTTTTAATTGTATTTGGTTCTTTTCCAAATCCATCTGCTCTTTTCACCTTATATCCCAGTCTTTACTGTGGTTTCTATACCTGTAAAAAAAAAATCTTTAAATGTTCTAAACATATTTTTAGTTTCCTTCAGATTATTATATTATCTGAAGTTCTTGGGGAGTCAACTCTACTGTTCATTTCTATTGACTCTACTTGAAATTTTCTATCATATGCTGTTTTTCAAGACAACTTTTTTTTTCTGCGATAGTCCACTGTATTCTAATTTATGGAAGTGTCACTACAGGGTTAGCAAAAGTTAATACTTGTGCTAGATAGGGTTTCCTGGGCCCACAACTATATATGTTAATTTGTTTGACTTTCAGATTTCTACAACACATAGGTATTATGATTTTTTTGTTTGTTTTTTTGAGACATAGTCATCTGGTCTAGAGTGCAGTAGCATCATTGTAGTTCACTGCAGCCTCAAACTTTTGGGCTCAAGTGATCCTTATGCCTTAGTCTCCAGAGTAGCCTACAAGTGCACGCCATCCCACCCAGCAAATTTTAAAAAACTTTTTGTAGAGGTAGGTATTTTTCTATGTTACCCAGGCTGTCTTCAAACTCCTGGCCTGAAGTGATCTTCCCACCTCAGTTCCCAAAGTGCTGAGATTAAAGACAAGAGCTGCTGTACCCATCCAATACTATGCATTGACTCCACTTTCCTATATTCCATCCCCTCCTTCAATGATAAAATCTTGGGTTTTAATTTCCATCCGGAGGCACAGGAAGAAACAAGTAATTTTCCTGAAGTAGTGGGAAAAATGTTTTAGATAGCCGTTTTGGTATTCTTGCTTAATGGAGGTAATCTAATTTCTAGTTTCCTGCCTCATATCAAGTCAAGGTCACCTCCATCTCTTTTTGTTACAGTTTAAAATATATTCACAAAATCTTTGATAATTTTCCCTTCAAAAGGTAAAATTAATCTGATTCCTCTTAAATGTGAAGTGAATTTACTGACTTCTAAAAAACATAATGTGGTAGAAGCTATGTGACATCTGAGGCTAGATCATAAAAGAATGTAGTTTTCATCTCTCTCTTTTTCTTTCTCTCTTTTGGAGTTCACTCTAGGGAAAGCTAGCCACCATGTCATTATACTTAAGTAGCATAGGGGAGAGACCCACTTAGGAAAAAACTGAGACATCTTACCAACAACCATCATCAATTTGGTAGCCACGTGAGTAAGCCGTTTTGGAAGAAAGTCCTTTAGTCTTAGTCAAGGATGACAGCGGCCCTTGCTGATATCTTGACTGCAACTTCATGGAAAATAGAACTAGAATCACCTACTTAATCTGTTCCTGAATTTGAGCTATAGAAATTATGAAACATAGTAAATATTGTTGTTTCATGCTGCTAATAAATACTATTGCAAGCCACATTAAGTTTTTAACAAGAAATATTGTTTTAAACCACT